GAGAGAGAGAGAGAGAGAGAGAGAGAGAGAGAGAGATAACTTAGTTATATTTGATTACAAGAGTTATGATTACAATAGTGATGGAATTCTTGTGTACAGTCGATATACACAAAAATGCCATCACTAGTCATATACTAATAACTAAAGTATTGTCTAGACTCTGGACACCTTTAGTATTTTCTCTAATTCTGTTACCAATTCTCATGTCTTAAAAATAAATTCTCGCAAAAGCATTGATTAGTATATAATATACTGTATTATTGAAATGTTGGACACGAAGATCAACTTCAAAACTACAGTTATATTATAAGTTAGTCTTAAGTTAGTGTAACTAAACTTATTTAATATATTAGGAAAGAAGGCTTTCGGCATCTAATCTGCGAATTTAATTGTATTTTGTACTCAAATATAAAGCTATTAGTGAAAAGAAATAGAAGTGACGGAGAAAATTGAGTCAATTATATGCACATCACATACCCTTTCCATTCAAATAGATATCTCTATAAATGGGTTTCTTCTGGAAGTCAGGCGTCGAGTAATTACTTGTATCGGAACTAATGCTTTGATTTCTGTTGCGATTCTGTGCCCGAAGATTACAATAGATATCATTGAGCAGCTCATCGACTAATGAGCTGATCCTCCGATCCTTTAATCCTCTGAATTGTGTCGAATCGAAGTCAAAATAGCGTTCAGTTGTCGGCGACAACGACGGCGACGACGAAAGTATACTATCCCTCGACTGTAATCTCTGTAACTGTTTTTCACTGTTCATCCTTTTATTATTGGTTGTATTATTAGTGATAAAGTTATCGATTTTGAGTCCCAGAATCGGATTCAATGAGATATAGTCCTCGTCGTTAGAATTGGGGTAACTTTTATTGTATTTTAATTGAAAATCAATGTTTTTATTAATATTATTGTTGTTATTAATATTCACATCATTCATAACGTTATTGCCATTACAATCGCTAGCAGTGGAGACCTGGGGGCCACTGATTACACAATTATTACCATTCGTCTCATTTAACTGAATATCAAACCATTTACTCATTTCGCGAACGACTTTAAAATTCAAAACTTTTAATCAATACAATAATAACAATACAGAAGAGATGGAAACAAATTGATGAAAATAAATAATAATTGATTACAAACAATGTGTACGTGTATTAGAAAATAGAAGTTTTCGAAAGCAATGATAGATATTGTTTGATGTGTGTCTCTGTTTAGTGTTGATTACAATATGTAATAATGGGTGTAAACGATAAAATTGAAAGGATGTGCCACAACCTCGACAACTGCCACAACCGTATCGCTGATTAGCAGCTGTGCATCTGTTTTATTTTGCTATTAGTTAGAGTTAGTTATAGTTTATTTAATTTTCACGACACCTGCATTTGTAATGTACTGTTGAGACCGTGTTTTAATGAATTGATATCATATTTCAATGAATGATTGCCTTTAAAATGTGAGTTCATTTGGCACATACTTTGCTCCTAAAGTGTTGTATTATATAATTTATAATTTTTGAAGTTATTCTTGGATTTTATTACTAGAATTACAATTCTATAAATATATGTAAAGACGATAACTTTAACTATGTAACTTTAAATTGAACACTAACACTAATGCTGTGATTTCTATAAATTATAATTTTAAATAATATGAATTAAATATGAAAATTTTTTTTGTGAGAGCACACAAATAAATTTTATTTTATACACTTATTCTCAAAGGTGTTTGAATATAAAATTATTGATAATTAAACACAACTTTGTTATATATTTTAATAGTTATGTAGTTTTATTGACTTTAATTTAATGTGCAAAATATATTTAATGTTAAACTTAATTAGAAATCAAATTAAAAAAGCAAATGTTTTACCCAACACTTGGCTGTAAATTAAACCGGAGATCAAATGTTATGAATTGAAATATTCAATAAATGTCTTTCACGAATATATCATAAATGAGTTCAAAACATAAATTTAAATTATTTTTTATTTATAAATTAATTTATTTACTAAATTTTAATAAGTTTTTTGTGTTGAGAAACTTATGTATTGTATATTTAAATTGTATGTATTTTTAAAATCCAATTATTTTATACATTTTAATGACTAAATGAAATATTTTAAAAATTATTTCCTACAGAAATGATAGCATAACTAACTTAAAAATAATTAAAACATAGTTAATAATTGAGAATATATTTCACAAAAAAGTCAATTAATAATAATTAATAGTTTTTTTTAACTAAACAATAGTTAAGTAAAATCTGTTTCGCAATTAATTTTATAATAAGCACTAAATTTAGATTCAATTTCTAAACTCAATCATAAAGTCTCACAAAATAAGAAGAGAAAGACTATAAAAAACAAAAACAATTATCTTCTAAATTAAACTAATTAACCATTTCTGTTGAGAACACTTCTGCGGACCTGTTGTACGCATTGAACAAAATCCTTCACCTCTTGTGAACACTTCAATGGTTGGGATCTATTAGAGTGATAACAGTCTAAGACTTTTCGCTCGTTTTCGCGACAGATTGGCTCGCATTTGCTTTTGAGTAGACTTTTCTCGGCGTCCGATATATTAGCGGACAACTGCTCGTTGGCCGTCGACCACAGCTGTCGGTTCTGCTTCTGGAGCTCATTGATCTGTCCCCTCCACGACTGCTCCAACCGCTGGATCTCCCGCTCGTGATCTTCGCGCGCCGAACGACTCCCAGTGTATAATTGATCGCTCTTTGGGATCAGATAACGGATATTAATCAACGCTTTTTAATATACAAATCACATATCAATTCAAATTACAGTTAATTCTCGCCTCTGAGGAGGACTTTGTTGTTGTTGTTGTGATTGGGTTTGCGTCGACTGCGGAGGTTGTGGTTGCGGTGACTGAGTATTGGCGGGCGTGTAGTGATTATCTTGCGGTTTGGATTGACTGATCTTCTGAACCACAGATTCCGAGATCTAATTCAACGGCAAAAGACAACGAGAATCAAGTGATGGTTAAAACAGCGGTTAAACAATTGTCTTCAAACCCGTATAACTCCCGTCTCGTTGTCGTTAACGACTGTCACTCTTCTTGTACTGGAATTGATTCCCATCTTCTCATTGATATATGGCTTAAGACTCTGATTATCACCGAAACGATTGATTTGAGACACAATTAATCATAAATTGGTTTTTGTGGCCAAAAACCGGTCAACAATTGGGTCTTCAGTTGTGATGTAAGTTAAGGTCAATATTAAGCGTGACATCCATTGCAACCAAATGTTCATATATAACGTTAAAGGGACGAATTTGTGCACAAATGTAGGCATTTATAAACCATTAATTAAATACTAAGAGGGGCTCTAAACTCCCTCTATATTGTGTAACGTTGTTTGTGATGAAATCAATATTATTATAAATATATTTATAGCGACATCTATTGATATGATTTAATAGATACTATATTTTAAATTTTATAATTCAAATATTTATAAATTGACCATGGAGGCTTCTAGTTTAAAATTTTATTTCACATTTTAAATTAATTGACATTAAATTGTTTTAAGACACGAAACAACTTATAGGCAAACAATTTTCAAGCATTTCATTTAATTTAATGAGCAAAAAGTGTATATAATTTAGTTGTTGTTTAAAACATATTTTACATGAAAATTAAATCAAAATATATTTATACTGTGTTTATATATAATGGAAATTAAAATATATATTTTGTTGTCGTTGTAAACGTAGAGTTAAAACAAATATAATATAAATGTATGTAATTATTGTGCATTCAATTGCAAAGTAAAGTGTAATGTAATTGTAATTTAGAAAAAACCGATCGAAAAAACAATGTCCTCATCGGTCGGCGAGTCATTCCGATTATATTATATAATAAAATAATTATCCATTAATTCAATTAATTGGCAAATCCATGGTCTGGGGCTTGAATTCCATTGTCTGTCCATTCATTGTTCTGTCAAAAAAGTCGTTAAAATGATAATTAGAGCAAAATGTATGGCAATTAAAATGGATGCGAAATAATGTGTGCACTACTTTTCAAACATGGACTTCAAGACATCACAGCTGTGTTTGTATCGCAACTCATTCTCTTGCGATGATTGTTGCCATTCCTGTCGCACATGTTTCCAATGACTCATATTCCTGGCCAACAGACCGGCGAACGTGTCCTCCGATAGGCTGTTAATCAACACATCCGCCTGTGATTCCCGTTTCTGGTGATCGCGAACCGACGCCGGGATCCGCAGATCGATTTCACGGCCCGACTCGTCACGAGGTTTGGCCAATGGTTTTGGCAAATGATATATTCCTGAAGGCTTCTCATCGATGGGACCGCCACTGGTCTCCGGGTCTTCGTTCTTGAACTCCTCGAGTGGCGGCGATTCATACAAATTGGGAAGCGATGTGTTGTTCCGAATCCAAGACCGACACACCGGGTATAGCGGGGCGTCGTCTCTGGCGGACGAGTGACTGAATTGCGCCAAATCTACGCTCCGGTCGAAGAGCTTCAACACAAACGACGACGTCTTCGTAAAGCCGTCCTCTTTCAGACCCTTTCCCGCCCTAAACACGAAGATATCAAACAAAATAGCCGTCAAATCACTGGTCAGACAAACTCAAGACAAACAACAATTCAAAAGTGGTATTCAATTACTTCTTGTGTTTCTGAGATCGGCGTCGTTTGAGATGCGGCGAAGAGTCGGTCTCTCCGTCCTCGTCGTCGAACTCGTCGTCCTCTTGAGAGTCGCCTTTCGAGATGTGGGCCAAGAGGTCGTCCAACTTATTGCGGGCCGAATCCACTTCACCCAAAACGCCGTCCCGTTTCTGGTGCCGAGACATACGGTTCAGACGTTTGGCCGCTCGCCGTTGTCTCAGTGGCGTCGACACAATCACGTCCTCCTCGTCGTCGTCCTCGTCCTCCTCTTCCTCTTCGTCGTCGTCATCGATGATGTCTTCGGCGCCGGAGTGGCCGTCAAACACGTCGTCCTCTTCGACCGATGAGGGCGAGGATGTGATGATTGTGTGGCGCTTATACTTCTTGGGCGTCGTGTCCATCGACGACGACAGCGACGACCGCTGGTGACGGGTGTCGGGCGACAACTCTTGTCCACCGCTGGCCGAAGGGTTGCGCTCGAGTGGTGTCGCGTCGACGGCGGCGGTGGAGGCAGTGGTTCCCGAGTTGTGGTCATCGGCGGTGATGTCTGTGTTTTCCCGTTTGATAAGCCTCTGCGCGATGCGAGACGAGACCCGACTGCCGACCATTGGATTGCTATCTCGTGGCGATGTCTTGGATAGGATTAGCGGATCCAATGAGTGATGAGATAGTGATTAGCGATTGAAATGGTATTCAAATCTGAAAACACAAACACTGTTTCAAAGACTCGCTGAAAGTGTCGACCAATCACTCAATCGTTTCATTCAAACACTCTTTCAGCACATATTGAGCGCCACTTTTGAACCCAACGCTCAAAAGCATTGCATTTCCAACGCATTCATTGCTGTAATAGTTTTCATACAATTGTTACTTTATAAACGATAATAATATCAAAACTAATTGCAAACCTTTTTATGAATTGAGAGAATAATGCATTCAATTGTTACATAAGTCGTGAAAACTGTTTTAAATTTACGCACAAATCAATTAAAAGCACTGTTTGAATAGATTTTACCACAAAATAACCGTTAAATTGAGAAAATATTTCAAACCATTTAGGATTTGAATCAATTTAATCGTCCGTTTATTTCACTCATAAACACAACTTTAAAACTATTTATTTATCTCTTGTGTTCTCAAAGCTTTTCACTTCATTAAAACGATGGCCCGAATTGACGACAAGAGCTCTTTCGGTGTTTTGGATGACTTCACGTTTGAAAAGTTGTTGTCTTTTCTGTCATTTGAAGAGCGATTCCGATATGAAATTGTTTGCAAACGATGGCAACGATTCATATTCAATACACAAAAACACCTCAATATTGGAATAACATTAAAAATTAAGATTGAAATAAATCGACAAATATTAGAAGTAATACTAAAAAAGTGTCCAAACATTGCAAACATTTGCGATCGTTTCAAACCCACGATTGGATTCACTATTGAAGACAGGATTCCATTAATTGAGTTATTTATTGAACATTTTAATTATTTGGCATTTGTTTCCGTGGTTTATATCAATTTTCACGGCATTAGTGTACAAACGATTGAAAATTTTTTCACAAAGTTTGCCAAACAATTGAAATCAATTAGATTTGAATTTGATTTTAATATTACAAACAATTTTATCTTCAAATGGCTTAAAATGTGTGTGAATTTGCATTCAATTGAATTGAATCGTGAATTCTCTCAATCATTATCTCTTCTAATCGACAAACAAAATGAGATGCAATTCAAAGAACTCAAAAATATTAAATTCCTTACAATGAATACTTCCGATGATTTCAATGCATTTGATTTATTCCTAAAACTCTATAAAAACAATATAAAGTCAATTGGATTTGATATGAATTGCGAACTCAATGAAGACATCATTAAAAGACTGACATATGGTTTAATTCAAATGAAGGCATTAATTGATCTTAAATTTGAAATTCGTGGTTACGATACGAAGTTTATATCTATATTTACACTATTTTCCAAAATTGGTTTTGAAATCGATGAACAACTCAAATATCTCGACATCTGGTTTGGCATAGCATTTGATGAACAACTATTTCATGCAATTAACGCGAGTTTCAGATGTTTAAGCCGTTTGAAAATAAGGGGTCAATTGAAACCAAGTGCGAGAATACCAGGCAATCCATTGAATCAATTGAATCGTTTAACTCATTTGAAATTGAGAGTTGGAGTGAATATTATCGACCCATTCTTCGCCGACATATCAACGATATATCCATTCCTTCAATACTTAAGTCTAAATCGCGTTAAGATAACACAAATAGCGATGAATGAGATGTTGAAATTGAAATACATCCGTGCCGTTAGTCTCACTGGTTTTGTCAATTGTAACCGTCGTATAAATGACAACATCAAGATTTATATTTCTTAACACTTCAATATATTCATAACCGCTTTGTCAATGCTTTATTAATATTCAAAATTAATATTTGAAAAAAAAGTATATATTCTTTAAAATAAAAGCTTTTAGTCAAAAGTTATTTTCAAATGGTTTGGCTCTTAATCTGATATAAAATCTATTAAATTATTAATTATAACATAAGAAAAACTATTGGTTGTGATAAGCCAATCAACAAATGTGGCGATCAATTGATTTTGACACCAGTTGTGGTGATTATTGTTACCGCACTTATAGGCAATTCATTGTAATTCAGGGTTTTCTTCAATTGTTAGTAAAATTCTTTACAAAATAAAGAGATTTCTCGCGAATAATGTTAACATTAATTCAACTAAATTTAAATTTAAATACAGTTACAAATCAAACATAAATTAATTCAAACCATTAAAACATAATTAGATTCAAAATTAAGACAATAGAGATGTCAATCCAAGACTTCATTAGATCACAGGAGGACTTAATACAACCGATAGAGTTATACAAAACCAAAGTTATCTTTGATGGACATCAGATCCAAAGGGAACTCTTCCACCGTTCGGGCGGACAAAGAGATAGTAAATATGGACCAAATTATACGGCATTTGAGGAGACAATCAAAATGTTCTTAAGACGGCTTAAGATCTGCCAAATCGTGCCAATCATTGTCTACAACGGATCCATTGATGTCAACCGATATAACAAGGGTTTTGACGATAGGATTCGAGAGATCCGAAGAATTGCTGGCAATGGATACGAGTGTCGCTTCCAATCGCCCACTCTTTGCAATTATGTCTTCGTCTCTGTTTTGCATGAATTTGATGTCCAAATCATTCAAACGTGTTCTCAGACGTGGACTCATGCGATACAAACACAGCTGTGATGTCTTGAAGTCCATGTTTGATAAGCCTCTGCGCGATGCGAGACGAGACCCGACTGCCGACCATTTGATTGCTATCTCGTGGCGATGTCTTGGATAGGATTAGCGGATCCAATGAGTGATGAGATAGTGATTAGCGATTGAAATGGTATTCAAATCTGAAAACACAAACACTGTTTTCAAAGACTCGCTGAAAGTGTCGACCAATCACTCAATCGTTTCATTCAAACACTCTCTCAACACATATTGAGCGCCACTTTTGAACCCAACGCTCAAAGCATTGCATTTTCAACGCATTCATTGCTGTAATAGTTTTCATACAATTGTTATAACTTTATAAACGATAATAATATCAAAACTAATTGTAAACCTTTTTATGAATTGAGAGAATAATGCATTCAATTGTTACACAAGTCGTGATTTTTTTAAATTTACGCACAAATTAATTAAAAACATTTTTTGCATATATTTTACTACAAAATAGCCGTTAAATTGAGAAAATATTTCAAACTTTTTAACCATCATTTCAATCGATGTCTTCACTTATAAATAGCACTTTTAAATATTTAATTTTGTCGTTAGTTTTCTCAAAAGTGTTCACATAATTGAAAACATGTCTCATTTCGACGACAAGAGCTCTTTCCGTGTTTTGGATGACTTCACGTTTGAATACTTGTTGTCTTTTCTCTCATCTGAAGAGCGATTCCGATATGAAATTGTTTGCAAACGATGGCAACGATTGATATTCTATACACAAAAACATCTCAATATTACTTCCAAATTAGAAGAAGTACTTAAAAATGATCGAAAAATATTGGAAAAAATAGTGAAAAAGTGTCCAAAAGTTTCAAGTATTGATTACACGGAGGGTTTTGCGGACAAATCTTTATTATTTGAGTTAATAATCAAAGAAAAGAAACATTTAACTCATATTTACATTGAATTTTATGGCATTAATGAAAAAATAATTGAAGAATTTTTCGCAAAGTTTGCTTTGAAATTGAAATCAATTAGATTTGAATTTGATTTTAATATTACAGACGATTTGATCTTTAAATGGCTTTTAATTTGCATGAATTTGGAGTCAATTGATGGCAGTTTTGATTGTTATCCGTTATCACGGCTTCTAATCGCTGGACAACAGATGTATTTCAAAGAACTCAAAAGTATTCAATACCTTTTGATGGTTACGGACAACGATTTCGTTGGATTTGAATCATTTGTTAATTACTATAAACACAATATAAAGACAATTGGATTTTATTTAGTGGACGTTAGAGTCAATGAAGACATCATTCATAGACTAACCGATGGCTTAACTCAAATGAAATCATTAATTGATCTTAAATTGGGGTTTAATAGTTATGGTATGGACTCTACATTTATATCTACACTATTGTCACAAATTGGTCTCACATGTGAACAAATCCAAAGTCTCGACCTATCATTTCACGCAAATTTTGATGAACTAATATTTAATTCAATTAACGAATGGTTTAAACATTTAAATCGTTTGAAAATACATGGGCTTTTGAAGCCAAGTGTGCGAATACCAGGCAATCCATTGAATCAATTGAATCGCTTAACTCATTTGGATTTGAGAGTTGGAGTCGATATTATCGACCCATTCTTTGCCGACATATCAGCGAAATATCCATTCCTTCAATACTTAACACTAAATCGCGTGAATATAACACATATAGCGGTGGAAGAGATGTTAAAACTGCCAGATATTCGGGCCATTCGTCTCATTGGTTCCGTCACTTCAAAATATGTGTGCATTAAGTGTTGTCTCCGAGTGTTTTCTAATATATCCATTACTAATCGCTAATAACTACGAAATATTTATATTTTTATTTCTTTGCTTTTATAACTTTTTTATGAATACAATTAACAATCAATATTTGTTTAATAAATGTTTGAAATAAAAGTATTAGTTATTAGAAGAAAACTTTTACTCATAAAGCTTTTGATGTAATATAAAAAGTGTTAAATTATTAATTATAACATAAGAAAAACCATTGGCTGTGAAAAGCGAATCAACAAATGTGGCGATCAATTGATCTTGACATTAGTTGTGGTGATTATCGTTACCGCACTTATAGGCAATTCATTGTAATCCAAGGTTTTCGTCAATTGTTAGTAAAATTCAGTCTAAAATAAAGAAATTCTCGCGAATAATGTTAACATTAATTCAATAAAATTTAAATTTAAATACAGTTACAAATCAAACATAAATTAATTCAAACCATTAAAACATAATTAGATTCAAAATTAAGACAACAGAGATGTCAATCCAAGACTTCTTTAGATCACAGGAGGACTTAATACAACCGATAGAGTTATACAAAACCAAAGTTATCTTTGATGGACATCAGATCCAAAGGGAACTCTTCCACCGTTCGGGCGGACAAAGAGACTGCAAATATGGACCAAATTATACGGCATTTGAGGAGACAATCAAAATGTTCTTAAGAAGGCTTAAGATCTGCCAAATCGTGCCAATCATTGTCTACAACGGATCCATTGATGTCAACAGATATCACAAAGCGTTTGACGATAGGATTCGAGAGATCAGAAGAATTGCTGGCAATGGATACGAGTGTCGCTTCCAATCGCCCACTCTTTGCAATTATGTCTTCGTCTCTGTTTTGCATGAATTTGATGTCCAAATCATTCAAACGTGTTCTCAGACGTGGACTCAAGTGTCGGGTTTGGCGAATGCACTCAAGTGTGCCGTCTATTCAAACACAAGCGCCTACTTCTTCGTCGACACCGAAGACGACTTTCACATCATTTGCGGAAATCCTTTCGACAGAAAGTCTTTGGTTTACAACAATTGCGGCAAATATTGGTTCTTCAGATCCAAAGCGTTTCAAAAGAGTCTTTTGCTAAAGAAATACAAACACTTAAGACATGAAGTGTTGCCATTGATTGGCGCCGTTTTGAAGCATCGCATCATTGGTCACAAGGAATACAAGAGAATGAGTGATGACTTGAGTTGTGATCATCCGATCAATTGCTTCAACGTTTTGATTCAATTGTTCGCCAATAAGAGTCTGAATGAAGCGTTGGATTCAGTGATGAAATACACGGCAAGGGATGCCTTCGATGGCAGTCAGAAGATACAGATCTCACAGATTAGAGAACTGATGGCAGACTACGAGACCAATGGATGCAAAGCTATTCTGAAGAACTATTTGTACGAAACAGACTTCGAGAGCAGGAGTTTGAAGACTTCAGGCAAAGGAGACGTTGAGATCATTCTTCCGAAATGGTTTGTCAGAGAATATCAAAGAGGAATCATTCGTCCGGCGCTCATGAATGTCGTCCAATTGAAACTCCATGTCCTCTACCCTCCACTCCAAGACTTCTCACTCGAGTCCAGTTATGACTGCACTCTAAGTCTCAGACGATTTCTTTACGGCATTTTGAGAACCGAATCCACGAATCCGTCAAACGTTAAGGTTTTGGACCGAAAGGGTCTCAACAGACGCGAGGATTCCATCGCTCCCATGGTTTCCGTTCTCGAGTCACAAGAATTGCCGTTTTTGGGAACCATTAGAAAGTTAGACATCACTCAAAGACGTGCTCTCTTTTTAGCCATTCTTGACGTAAGCGAAGAGTTTATAAATCGTATGAAAGTCTCACTTATGGCCACAAAGTTATACAAAGACAATGAAGACTACACTTTCATCGATAGCTTATGTTTTCTCGTAATTATCGCTAAATTCATGGCAAAGAATAATAAAGGAATCGATTGCAAGCCATTCATAGGGGCTCTCACTCTTAGCGCCATTTACTACGAAAGCGAAGACTTGGTCTCTGAGGACAAGTGGACACATCTGTGTTGCCCTCCCATTGAAGAGCAATTCAATCCACGATTTGTTCACTATTTCTCGCAATTTGAAGGATGTCTTCACATCACAAACTTTGTGAACTCTCTTCTCGAGTATCCCTTAAGCGAAGGAAAGCCATACTATTGTCTGAACGCAGTGTTTATGTATAACGCCATCAAAATGTTGTCAACTGAAGAGGAATACCAGCCATTCCTCAACTATTTGTTCAGAAGCAAGACATCGTTGGCTAAAATCTATCACATGGTTGTCACTGATTTCATTGGAGTCTAAGATTGTCTCAAAATTTTGTAGTTTATAACTAATTCTCAATTATGTCTCAATTATTAATTCAATTATTTTTCATTATTTTATTCACTCATTTATGTTTTAATCAATAAAAATACATTTTAAAAACTAAATGTTAGAAACTTTACTCTAAAACCTAATAAAAAAAACTTTAAGAAACAAAATCCTATGAAACAAATATTGATAACAATGTATTAAAGCATCAATTCTGTGACATTTGTTTCAAACCATCAATTTTACAGCAAAATTGCATCAAAAGTAATCGTTTATTTGTTCAATAATTAACAAAATTATAAACTTATTCCAATTAATTTATCATAAAATGTAATACAAATGAGTAATAAAGTAGTAAAAATCTCAATTGAGTTATAAATGATTAAAAAATAATTATTCATAATCTCTATTATAGATAGAAAAAGTTAAAACAAAATAAATATTCAAATATTGATCCGTGAGTTTCATTAGTGGTCGGGATCGTAGGCCAGGATAGGACTCAACCACTTCTCGACCGTCTCCACTGACTCTGACTTGCGTTTGGCGTAATCCTTGATCTGATCCGACTGTACTTTCCCCACAGCGAAGTAATAGGACTTCGGGTGAGCAAAGTATAGGCCACATGTGGACGCGGCCGGCATTATGGCCAACGATTCGGTTAATTGTATGCCTGTCTGGCGCTCGACATCCATCAACTGCCACATTGTCTGCTTCTCTGTGTGGTCGGGTTGACTGGGATAGCCCGGCGCCGGTCTAATGCCGTCGTACTTCACTTTGAGTAAGTCATTGGTGTCCAACTGCTCTTCACTACTGTATGCCCACAACTCTTTGCGCACTCTTTCGTGCAGTTCTTCGGCGAACGCTTCGGCAAATCGATCGGCGATCGCTTTCGTCATAATGTCTTTGTAGTCGTCGTGTTCTCTCTTGAATTTGTCGCACATCTCTTGACACCCAAAGCCGGCGCTCACCACAAACAGCCCGATATAGTCAGTCACTCCGCTCTTTATGGGCGCTATGAAGTCGGCGAGCGATATGTATGGCGAGTCGTCGTGCGAGTCCTTCTCGGCCTGTTGTCTGAGGCCGTGGAAAGTGGCCACAGGTTTGCCGGAGTCGTCCATCAACTGTATCTCGTCGTCGCTGATAGTGTTAGCCCTATAGAAGCCCACAATTCCGTTGGCCGTCAAAAGTTTTTGCTCTATTATCTCATCAATCATATGAAGCGCTTCTTCGTATACTCTCTTGGCTTCGGCGCCAACTTTGCGGACAAACAAATTACACAATTAAATACATAACAAAAGATATGACTTTTCTATGAGACAAACCTGTTTCGTCGTTAAATAGTTTGGGAAACCCTCTGTTGGGATACTTTCCTCTCAATTGCCAGACATCGAAAAATGGCTTCCAATCGATGTAATCGATTAGTTTTCTCAGATCATAATCTTTGAACACTTTTGTGCCCAAAAAAGTGGGCGCTTTTATGTCAGTCATATTAAAATCAATGCAGAGTTTCTTCTTCCGAGCCTTTTCTATAGATAGATACGATCGGTCTCTGAGTGACTCGTAGTGGTCTTCACGCATCATATCGTAGTCGTCGTTCAGATCTTCTAAGAAGTCTTCCCTTAACTTGTGGTCTAAAAGACGAGAACAAACGACAACACTCTTCGAGGCGTCCAATACGTGAACAGTGGGTTCTGTATAACGCGGCGCTATCTTAACGGCCGTATGCTTTTTAGAAGTGGTCGCTCCGCCGATCAATAGGGGAATCTTCAGACCCCGTCTCTGAAGCTCTTTGGCCACAAAAATCATTTCGTCGAGCGATGGAGTGATGAGTCCACTCAAACCAATGAGATCTGCCCTCTCGTGAATGGCGGCGTCGATGATGCGATCACAGGGTGTCATAACTCCCAAATCGATCACTTTATAGTTATTACAGCCCAACACTACGGCCACTATATTCTTGCCGATGTCGTGAACGTCGCCCTTAACGGTGGCCAACACTACAACCCCTGCGTTGCTTTGTTCGCCACTCGAGTCCTTTTCCATGAATGGTATCAAATACGCGACCGCTTTCTTCATCACTCGCGCAGATTTGATCACTTGTGGCAAAAACATCTTTCCCTCACCAAACAGATCGCCAACAATACCGATGCCGTCCATAAGTGGACCTTCTATTATATGCAGTGGTTTTACATACAAGTCAGTCCGTTGTCGGCATTCTTCCACATCCTTTTCAATGTGTGCATCGATTCCTTTGACAATTGAATGCGAGAGTCTCTCCTCCACCGGCTTTCTCCTCCAGTCCTCGACTTCGACAGCGGTTTTAACAATTTTGCCGAATTCTTGGGCGTATTCTAACAGCTTTTCTGTTCCGTTCGGATCGCGATTCCAAATGAGATTTTCGCACAAATCCAATAGAATCGGATCGATGTCTGTATAGAGTGGTAAACACCCGGCGTTCACAATACCCATCGTTAGACCCGCTTTAATGGCGTGATATAAGAAGACCGAATGCATCGCTTCTCTAATCTTCTCCATTCCTCTGAAGGAAAACGAGAGGTTAGAGACACCACCGCTTACTTTGGCGCCAACGCAAGTCTCGCGGATCCGTTTTGTGGCGTTTATAAAATCGATGGCGTATTCGTTGTGCTCTTCCATTCCGGTGCCGATCGTCAGTATATTTGGATCAAAGATGATATCGTTGCGATTGAAACCCACTCGCGGACCGATCAGTATATCGTAACTGCGGCGACAGATCTTCACTTTTGTCATCTCGTCGGCCGCCTGTCCCGTCTCGTCAAAAGCCATGACCACAACCGCCGCTCCGAACCGTTGGATAAGTTTGGCTTTCCTAACGAACTCGTCCTCCCCTTCCTTCAGACTGATTGAGTTGACGACACACTTTCCCTGAACACACTTCAGGCCCGAGAGATAGTGGCGTTTCAACCTGCTTAGGTGTGTTTCTCCCTGAAATGTATAGAGCCCAAGTCACCGGTGGTCTAAGTCTTTCAAACGGTAGAGAAAGAACGACAGGTCGTAAGGGAGTAGGTATAAGATGTCCAACACTTGAGCCCCGTTTTCCACTTGGGTTTTGGCGATTTCCAGGGCCTGACTGTACTTCGCTTGCCGTATGAGTCGTGCGAATAGTTTACTGCCGGCGACGTTACAGCGCTCACCGATATTTATAAACAGTGTCTCTTTCGTGAAGACAAACGGCTCCAAACCCGACAAATAGAACTTGTCCTCAACTGTTGTCCTCACGGGTCGAGGCGTCAGTCCTTTAACAGACTGAGCGAACAGTCGGATGTGATCGGGTGTTGTCCCACAACAACCGCCCACTATATTAACCAACCCGTCCTCAGCGAAACTTTTCATGTGTTTATTCATCTCTTCGGGTGTTTCGTCGTATTCGCCGAAGACGTTGGGAATACCGGCGTTTGGATAACAGAGGATATAATTATTGACAGCAAATTTACTCATATTCTCGATGAATACTCGCATCTCTGCCGCACCCAAAGCGCAGTTCAGACCAATGGCTAAGGGCTGGCCGTGAGATATACTCACAATAAACGCCTCTCCCGTCTGTCCCGACAAAGTTCGGCCACTTTTGTCGACAATAGTTCCCGACATAAAAATGGGAACTTTAAAGTGCGGGAACTCATCGAAAACCGAGTGGACAGCAAATAAGGCCGCCTTCGCGTTAGCCGTGTCTATAATGGTCTCAATGAGGATCAAATTGGCGCCGCCTTCCAGTAAACCCATTGTCTGTTCCCTGTAAGCGGTCACTAATTCATCCCACGTTACGTTACGAAAGGCCGGATTCTCGACCTGAGGTGATATGGAAAGTGTTTTATTGGTTGGCCCGAGAGAACCGGCCACAAACTTCACGCCTCCAAACTGTTTCTCGTAGTCATCGCACGCGCGCCGCGCTATCAGCGCAGACTCTTTGTTTATCCGATAGACCAGATGCTGACAGTCGTAGTCGGCCTGAGCTATGGTCGTACCGCTGAACGTATTGGTCTCTATGATATCGGCGCCGGCTTTCAAATACTCGAAATGAATGCTATAAATAATGTTTGGTTTCGTGAGCGACAGTATATCGTTGTTTCCCTTCAGCGGTTTGACATGTTGTGTGAACTCATCGCCCCTGTAGTCACTTTCGCCCAATTTGTGTCTTTGAATCATTGTTCCCATCGCGCCTTATTTGGTTTCGTGAGCGACAGTATATCGTTGTTTCCCTTCAGCGGTTTGACATGTTGTGTGAACTCATCGCCCCTGTAGTCACTTTCGCCCAATTTGTGTCTTTGAATCATTGTTCCCATCGCGCCATCGATCACAAGAATACGCTCTTTCAGCGCATTCAACAGATCCTCGGTTTTTGACATTTTGTCCAATTATTATATAAAAATCAAAACTAATAAACACTGCAAAAGGATAGCGAAGAAAACCAAAATATTATTAAGACGTTTTGAAATGCAAACAAATACTAACAAATATGTGTCAAATAACTTCTCAATCAATTGAAAACTTAATTTACATTTAATTATTAGCTCTTATTTACAACCAAACCATTGAATTGTGCCTTTGGTTAGTGAAGGCACTGAGAGGCTCTCTAAGAGAGTTATCATGTGCTGATTGTATGGATTTTGTTTTTGATTTAATAAAATGCTTTTCTATTATTTAAATCAATGTTTTTGATCAAAAAAGTGTCATTTCATGGAATGAAAGTAAATTTTAAGTAAATTTTAAGTACTTTTCAATTCAAATGCGTTCACGAATAGCATATAAATGTAACCCAACTTAAGATAAAAGTATTGCAAATAATTTATGTTGATTTTGATATGAGTTATGAATTTGATAAGTTTTTTGTATAAAAACTGGTTTATAATCAGTGATTAAAACTAAATATATAAAAACTCGTATTTATTTACAGTAAATCTAAACACAAAGTGATAATAATAATTAGATAACTATATGGATATTTAGTGCAGAATGAGAAGCAAAATAAGCAAGGTAATAGTTTTATAGGTTTAAAAACTACTGTATTGTATAAGAGTGTGGTTTAATATGCGATATGTCTAAAAAGCGGACACTATATTAAAACTTGAGTTCAAATTGACTGAAATAAAAATGTAATTAAATATAATGTAATTTAAATGTGATTATAAACCACTATTTTTTAAGTTACGGTAAACTTTCGTATGTTGTGAGCGGACATAACATTCCTACGATAGCCGTATTGTCCCCTCCTGACCAACATCCCGACCATACATCTCCTCTCATGTCTGTCTGAGCTATTAATACGACTACAAAGCAATTGAATGACTGATTTAAATGACACATCAATTTAACCATTTATTAAACGCAACATTAATATCAATTGAGACCAAAAAATTGCATACAATTTGTGGTAAGATTTGAAAACTTATGGACGAGTAATGCGTGTAAAGCGCTATCCAATGGTCACCACAATTGCCATCACTGGTCAACACATGATATCAATGACAATAAAACTGTATTCAAAACCAAATCAACAAATTATACATCAATTAAAAGCATTGAAAACCAAATATAGAAAACAATACCAAAAGTGTTGAACACATGAAAACTTTTTTCTTAATAAACTTGTCATTCATATCACAGTCAATATAAATGCATTGATTTGTTGGCAAAACTTTACGACCATTTGATTTATATTAAATACTTTTCGCCACTTTTTGGCGTTTAATTGATTTAAACGTTAATTAATAGCGAAATCGGTGTTAAACTAGTGCTAAATAACCACTCTTTCTATTATGCAATCAATTACTTATCAATGCATTGATCTATAGATATGTCCACAAATGTGAACACAATTTATTGCCCCAAATATAACACAAACCATATGTTTGTGTCAAACAATATGCGGACGTAATCTATGGATAAATATTAGGCATTAAATGATTGTATTGTTTATGTTATGAAACGTATTGTTGTTTTGATTGCAAACAAAACACAATTTCGTTTAAATCATCGGTTTTTCAATTGAGTTAAGCGTTGATCCGTCGGGTGATAGACAAGAGAGACAATAATGCCGTCGATTGGCCAGTGGTTAGGCGTGGATAAGGCCATCAAACTGTACCGTATTGTCAGACATAACGGCGGTATCATTGGATCCCTTAAGAAGGTTTACAGGTATTGTACCACTCATTGCATTCAATTGGACCCGTTTTTGGTGATTGTCTTAACGCGTGTACCAATTAATGGCCCAAAGAGTGGCCAACGAATGCCTCCATTAATGTCTCTTTCGCTCTGATTGTCTCGCGAAGAATGGATGAGCTGAAGATCGGAACACTGGTCGGAGTGGACAAAGCGGGCAATAAGTACTACGAGAACAACGAGTACTTTCACGGCCGGAACC